CTTCCCCCACCTTGTGAGCTTTGCAGGCCTGACCAGGTGCCACGGCTGCAGCTCTGTCTGGGGCTCCCAGATGAGTTCTCAGTGGGCTGCTGTTGCTTCCTCACGGCGCTCGGCAGAGGCTACCTGTGAAACAGGCCATGCTTCTCTTCACTCCCATCACTTCAGACCCTTAATCCTGAGACGTGAGGCACACGGGCCTTGGGGAGCCGTGGAAGAGAAAATGGTCAACTCTGCTCCTCAGAGCTTGGCAGTCCACAGGAACCCCATGCACAGAAACATTGCTCACAGGGTACCTTCAGGACCATTCTTCCCTAAAGGACACCTTAGTTCTGTTCATTTACAGATGGAGGCAGCTCTGTCTAGGTCTGTGTTTACCTGTTTGCTAGTGATGGGCAGGTCCACCTCAGCCCGCTCCTCTGAGCTGATGTGTCCTCTCCCGGCCTGGGCTGGAGCTCTCGTCTCTAGGAGCAGGAAGGATCTGGACACTGTGGGAATAGGCCCTCTGTTTTCACTGACTCCCACACTTCCCTGGTCCACTGAAGCCCTGGTTGCTGTGATGCTCTGCCCCTGTAGTAGGGCTTGCCTTGGTGTCCAGCTTTCCTCCCAATTCAGGGCAGCATGGCCACTCCAGAGAGGGTCTGGGTCCGTATGATCTCCCATGACCCACGACCCTTCTTTTGGTGGATTCATGTGTGCTTTTGCTTAACACCTTCCCAGAGTTTCAAGTAGTTCAGAAATAAGATACCCTTCTTTTCAGCCTTCTTCAGATTGGGCCGCTGCTTTTTAGAAAGCTGGGGCAGTGAAAAGAAAAAGAAGAAGCCTGCCCAGTTCTCACCCCTCCAAGTAGGTTGTGTCAGGGTCAGACCCTCAGGACATTCTTGCCCATTTCCCTCCCACTACATAACGTGCGGAGCCCCCGGGCTCTTTTGACAGCATGTGCACATAGCTGTGCAGCGGAGACCCTGGCCTTTCTCTTCTTTCAGTAACTGTCCTTCTTTCTATTGAGCTGTTGTTGGCTTTTATTTCCATGAGCTCCAAAAAGTTTTGCAACTCTCCAAGAAGTTCTTCAACTGTTGAAAGACAATAAAGATAAAATGTGTCAGAAGATTAAAGGAAACATACACTTTTTTTAAATTAGAAAATTAAAACAAGAAAAGATAAGAGGCAAAAAGATAAATGGATTATAGTTAACAGTGGGGAAACAGAAATGTAGGTAAAGAATTGAAGTGTGGAGAACTCTTATGAGTAAAGTTATGGTCAAAAGATAAAATTAAGGAGTGGGAAAGGTTTGAAAGAGCTAGTATTTAAGATTTTTAACAAAGTCATAAAGATTCAAGAAAAATAGCATGTTAAACTCAGTATTTTAAGATTAAAAATCTAAACAAATGTAAACAATGTGTAAGGTTATCTTGCTCTTTCTTGTTGGGGATGTACTTGTATGCATTTTGGAAAGATGTCCAAGAACTAAGGTTTAGGCAGAAAAGAAAGCCACAGAACATTGGATGGTCCAAGCATATATATTACATAGAGAGGAGTGATAGAAAACCAGAGGAAAAAGGGAGTGGAGTTTGGGGTTGTCACCAATACATGGGTCTCCTCAGGTCCCTTTACCTCTCCTGTGCTCAGAGGTAAAGGAACTTTGTGCACCTCCAGCACTCATAGGCAGCTCTTCTTAAGTGTCTTCCCTTGAACCCCTGCAGCTGCCTTGCGTACCTGGGCAGAGAGCCCCAAGTGCCTGGGCTACTCTCACCCTACCCCAAGGCCCTCAGCCAATGAAAGACTGCAGGAATGTGATCGTCCAGCTCCTCCTTATAGATGGGGACAACTCTGAGACATCACTTACCTCCTCTAGCAGCACTGTCAAAATATAAAGTGAGCTACATATAGAATTTTATATTTTCAACTAGCCACGTTCAAATGAATTCTTTTATCTTATTATCATTCAATATGTAATCAGTGTAAAAAATAATCGAGACATTTGACATTATTTTTTATTTGTACCAAGTCTTCCAGAGCCAGTGTGTGTCACACTTACGCAGCTCACTTCAGACTGCCCATGTTGGAGTTGCTCTGAAGTTATGTGGTGAGTGGCCGCTGAGCTGAGCTGAGCTGAGCAGCACAGCCTCCTTCAAATTGAAGCTGTCCCTTCAAAGGACTCTGCCAGAATTCGAAGCCTTACTTGGCCCCTTCCCGTTCCCTAGCCTGCTTCCTTCACTTCCTTTGGGGGTTTTGAGAATACTTTTTCAATTTCTTTTTTGCATACAAGTATTATCTTTGTACTGAAAAGAAATTTTAAGAGTTTAGAAAACAAAATGTCTCTCTCATCCCAGATCCCACAATGGGGATTAAATCTATTTGTTATTTTAGTGCCAAGGCAGCAGTAAACTCCTGTGCCACTGAGGCTTAGGAGTTGTGGGGCGCCTTTGCATAAAGAAAAACTGATTGCACAATAGAATGGCTACTTGGCTTTTGTCACAGGTTGAAAGCCTGAGACTTTGATGTCTGCTGCAATGGTAAGGGACCAAGGGTAAGATTTTCTAGAAGTCTGGGTCAGGTGTGCAGCATTTGGCTTCTCAGGGCCAGGAAAGGCAGTGGGGAGAGTGGAGTTATCACTGAGGAACACCAGGGGACCTAGCAAGAGAAGGTCCTGAATCCTTCCTCATGAGACATAGGTCACTAGAGTAACATCTGCTTTTTCAAGATGCCTGCAGCCTTGGGCCTGGGTGACACTGGCAGAACAGTTTCAAGTGATCAGTGCCTATCTCTTGATACCCAGCAGTGTGGAGTCACTTCCCTTGGCATCCAGCCCTGGGCAGGTGGCAGTACCCTGTGTAGACCCTTCCTCAGATAATACTGCTCTGGACCACTAGGCCTCTGACTTCTGCCTTAACATTATGAAGAGCACCTCTTGACCAAATGTCATCTAAGATTGCTTTTTTTAAAAACAATATTTTAGTTGGACACAATATCTTTATTTTATTTATCTTTATGCGGTGCTGAGGATCAAACCCAGGGCCTCGCATGTGCTAGGCAAGCACTCTACCACTGAGCCATAATCCCAGCCCCTAAGATTGCTTTTTACTTTTCCATTTCCAAGTAGCTGGATTTTGTGGCTCCTTTGTCTGTCACTTGAGGTAGAGGTGAGTGAAGATGCTGCCAGATGGCTCAGAACACCACTCCAGTCAAGAGGAGTAGGGATGCCTATGTTTCCTATACACCACCCGCTCTGTGCTAGAACTGCCTTTCCAACCTTCCTCCATGTGCCACCAGAGAAAGGGCAGGCACATCTCAGAGTACATTTCTCAGGTTATCCCATGAGCAACCTATTTGTTAATTCTACAGCATTGACTCTTTACATATTAAATGTTATTACTCTTAAAATATGTGATTTTTTTCCTTTTTGTCTCCAGTGTTGCCAGTCTAAGCCTTTATATGATTGTTCTTGGACATTTTAAACTGGAAATTTGATAAACCAAGTAGTACTGGAACTATCCCAGTGATGGTCGAGAGACCCACATTGTTCTCCTAAAGCATCTTAGACATAACTTCCTGTACTAAACCAATATTGCCTTTTTTTTTCTAAATAAGTTTGTGATTGTTTAAATACTCACTCTGAACTATATTAGTCCACTTTTATTTTTTTTTTTTTAAAGAGAGAGAGAGAATTTTTTTTTAATATTTATTTTTTAGTTTTCTGCGGACACAACATCTTTGTTTGTATGTGATGCTGAGGATCAAATCCTGGCAGCACGCATGCCAGGCAAGCGCGCTACCGCTTGAGCCACATCCCCAGCCCCCAAGTCCACTTTTCATTACTATAACAAAATACCTGAGACTGGGTAACTGTATAAAAGAAGAGGATCTCTGCCACGCGACCAGCGCTGGCTTCATGAAAGAAGGTTCGGTTCATAAGTAATTGCTAAGGAGTTTTAAATTAAAGAGACAAGACTCTCATTACCTTTAATACCAGCTCCGAGACGGCTTCTCCTAGCTCCCGCCTCCAACCACCTAATGCGGTGGTGAGGTTTACAGAAGAGACTAGCGAGAAAGAGAGAACACGCCAGGGAGTGGGCTTTAATTGGGGAACAAAAAATTCCAGGGAAAATCCCATCCAATGAAGGTTAAGAGGGACAGCATCCCAAGGTCAGGGGCGACGACTGGGTCTTCAGGGCAGTGGCCAGGCACGCCTCTGCACGGACAAGCCCTCGGACCTGGGAAAGGGTGGGGAAGGCTCTAACACAGCTGTGTCTAAGCGCCTCTCACCCAGCCAGGGAGGTAACTCAAATCACATGCGAGGATGGCCTCCCACAAGGATTATTTTGGTTTATAGTTCTTATCAAAGGGTGAGGACCATTTCTGATGATGGCCAACTTGTTGGAATTGTCCCAAGGTGGTACAAGATGTCACATGGCAAAAGATAGGGAGTGTACATGTGTGTCTGTGCCTCCTCTGGTCTTTCTATCTGTCTTTTTACAAAGCCATCAGGATTCAATCATGGGGGCCCCTCCTAGATGACCTTTTCTAATCCTAATCACCTCCAAAGGCCCCACCCCTAAAATAGCAGAATAAGTCTCCATCCTCTGATTCCTCACAGTGGGGACTCAATTTCAACACATGAACCCTTGGAGGACATAGAATGTCAAAACCAGAGCAAGATTCCTCTGACTTGACATTGTGGGCAACATACCTTATTGCTCAGGGATGAGATAAGATTTGGACTGTTCTGGGCAGCACCCCTAGCCCCAGGGTCCCTGAGTACCACTCTGCTGTAAAGGGCGTGCTTGGCATCCCCCTGCTCCTGGCTTATGAACAGCTGTCCTGGGAGGAAGAGGACAGGGCAGGCTTTGGTGGGCCTGTGTTCTTCTGTTTCTCAGAGCCTTTCCCAACTTCTTCTGCTTCAGCACAGCAACGCAGTCTCCCGGCCCACTGATGGAGCCGCTGACCAAGGGGTCCTGTGGGAGTCAGATGGCACAGACCCTCCTCTGGAAAGCAAAGTCGTCTCTCTCCTTTGGCATCCAGTCCCTTCAGACATGGCCAACGAAAGACCCTGAGCTAGAGTCCCAGGTCAACCTGTAAGTAAGTAAAAAAAGCAGGTCTCAGTTTGGGGCCACACTCATTTTAACATGAAATCCCTTAGTGTACAGGAGGAATATCTTTCAGGGGAGAGTGGGAAGGAAAGCGGTGTGGGTGTGATCTTGGAGACTATATTTCTATTTTCCTTTTTTGGTTACTGGGGATTGAACTCAGGGTCACTCGACCACTGAGCCACATCCCTAGCCCTATTTTGTGTTTTATTTAGAGATAGGGTCTCACTGAGTTGCTTAGCGCCTCACAGTTGCTGAGACTGGCTTTGAACTTGCGGTCCTCCTGCCTCAGCCTCCCAAGCCCCTGGGATTACTGAGCCTGGCATTGCATTTCTATTTTTGATGATGTCTTATTTATCTATTTATTTAACAATATTCATTGAGCACCTCTAGCAAGCCCCATACCAATAGAATATGGAAGAAAATAATTCTAATATAATACAGAAAAAATATAAGAATAATTGTATAAATGTTATGTTAAGTCCATTAGGGTGGTACTGTGTTTTCCTGTATATTCCTGAACCACAACAGGCCTTTGCTAGAATATGTGATATTTGTTGGATGAATGAATAAGTACATGGATATAGAAAATCCTATAGGAGAGAAGTGTTTAGATCTCCAGGGAAATCAAAGGCAACTAGCTAGCATATATGATTGATTTCAAAACAAAGGAAATGCTTCATCTATTCAATGCAACAAATATTTATCTATGCCTACTGTGTCCAGTGCTTTTGTGAAATCAATTCCTGGCTGGGGATATGGATCAAAATCACCTGTGAAGCCTGGGGATGTGTAGAGCACTTGCCTAGCTCCTGTTAGGTACTGTGTTTGATCCTCAGCACCACTTAAAAATAAATAAACAAACAAAAAAAGGTATTGTATCCATCTACAACTAAACATATTTTTTTAAAAAAATCACCTTTGGAACCTAAGAAACAACTCTGGCCTGAGGCCCACCCCCAGGGGTTCTGATTCAATGGATCTGGAGTGAAGGGAAAGAGGACCTGTTCCCCAAGGAGCTCACAGAGCTCATCCAGAGAGATGGACAAGTAACCCCCATGGTGCTAGAAAAGAAGCACTTATAAAACGCTGATGGAAGAAGTAGGCTCCTGAGAAGGGGCAGCAGCTGAGCTCGGCCTTGAGGTCAAGCCCAGCCCAGGTCGGGCAGGAGATGAGGGAAAAGGCCACTGTGAACAGAGGAAAGCCCCGTGGAACCTTCATCCTTGAGAGCTGTTGATAGACGTTCTCCCAGCCATTCTCAGCACATAGCAATCACCTAGGGAAAATAATGAACAGAAGTCTGCACTGTACCTCCAAAATTTCGAAGTATAGGATGGAACACAAGCACCATTATTTTTAAAAAGCTCCCCAAGTGGTTCTCATCTGTGACAAAAGTTGAGAAAGGCTGCGTTAAAATGTGACTCTCCGTAATTAAATACAAAATAATAATGAAGCCCTTAAATGCCTAGCAAAGGGATCTGAATTTCTATTGAGGCAATGGGAGCTGCAGAGGGCTTTGACGATCTTAGAGCTAATGCCCTTTGAAACGTAAAAGGTCCACTTAGGGTAGGTCAATTCGCGATCTGTGAGTCCCGTGGCTTTTCAAAGCCAATCCCCTACCGCCCATAAATTACCTCTTAGGTGAAGTGAGAACTGACTCTCCCGGTGATTTGAAACAGAACTCTAGGAGGTCAGTTAATGTTCAATTAACGAGCAAAATGCGCCTGTCAAAGGGCTGAGCCAGAGGAGAGGAAATCCAGGCAGGGCGTGGACTCCCACCCGCGGGGCGGCCGAGAACGCCGACCTTCCTGCCTTCCTTACTCATTGGAGGCCGGGGTTTGTGTGCCGAGCGTTGGCGGGTTACCCGAGACCTTCCGCCTGAACTCGGCGGGGGCTAGTGCTCACTGCGGACCGGCCAGCTCGGCCTCCTTCGTAGACTGGGAGACTGCGAGCCCCACGGTGCACCGCGCGGGTGACGTGTGAGGGGCGGGCAGGACTCCTGGAGTCCTGGGCGGGTCCCTGGTGATTGGCGGCCTCAGGGCTGACCTGGCTGCGGGCGGAGCGGGGGAAGTGCCTGTGTCCCTGCGGAGCCAAGGGAGCCCGAGGTGTGTGCTTTTGCTCATTAAGCTCACCCAGCGGCACGTGAGAATGGGCGTGTTGGACCATGCTCGGGGCACAGGCTGGAATTTGCCGGAGCCAACGTTGAGTTCTTTGGAAAACAAGCTAGAAAGGTGTTTCTTTAAGAATCTCTCATTCATTAAGTTATCCATTCAACAAATATTTATCTATCACCCATGTACAGGCATTTCCCCAAACATCCTAAATGCGTTTTCTCCTTTAGTCTTCACAAATGAAAAAAAAAAAAAAAAAAAATGAGGCTGCTACTGTTATCCCCGCTTTACACTTGAGAAAGCTGAGGCAGAAAGATTAAGAGAGTTGTCCAAGACACACAGCAGGGTTTCGAACCTAGGTTTGTCTAGCTCCAGTGCCCATCTCTCAACCCCAGAACACTCAGGTGTGCAATCAAGGTGTTTATGGAATGTCACTGGCCACAGGGCATTTTGGTACTGTCAAGTGAAGAATCTTATAGTCCAGTGCTGTACACCAATGAAACTGACCAAGCCAGAGCTGGGCCTTGTGCCAGGTGCTGGGGATGCAAAGGGGACTTATAAAAGTGTTGTTAGCTGGGACAGTCCAAAATTTCTCAGTGGAAAGAGCACTTGAAGTTGGGGAACTACCAGGTAGAGGTGTGGGGAGACCTTGAAGCAGTCTGATTTGGCTGATGCTTCTTGAGGAGTGGTGGGCAGTGAGCTTTGGTGGTTGGGTAGAGCCATGTCATTGGGGGAATGGGAACCCCTGGCCTTGACACTCTAGGCAGGGCATTGCACAATTAGAATTGCATATTGGAAAGAAAATAGTGTCAGGGGACAGCTAAATTGCATTTAGATGAGTCTGTTGGCAGTGGGGACCAATTAGAGTAGGAGACGAGAGTTCTAGTCGGGGCAGAAGGGATAGGCTGGACTTAGGAATATTTCAGAGGAAGATTAGAATGGACTTGATAAACCTGTGTCTTGACATAAAGTAACATCTCTGCTTTAAAGGAAATGAGAATATTGTTTATTCTGAGCCAAATGTGAGTGACCATGGCCTAGGAACATGGATTTGAGTTATCCTGAATGACATGTTCCACTGTGGAAGAGGTTGCATGAACTTTTTATAGCCAGAACAAATGTAAGTCATAAATCAATGTGTTTACCATTTACACTGGTAGGAGCATAGGGTAGATGAGCTGCAACGTGGCAAGGCATTCTTCTCTGTGGGTTTCAGATGTTAGAGCTTCTCCCCACCCCCTATCCTCAGTACTGGGGATTATATCCAGGGGCACTCTATCACTGAGCTACATCCTCAGCCCTTTTTATTTTTTTATTTTGAGACAGGGTCTTGCTAAATTGTTAAGGCCTCACCAAGTTGCTGAGTCTATTCTTGAATTTTTAATCCTCCTGCCTCAGCCTTCTGAGTCATGGGATAGGGGTGTGCCACCACACCCGGCTATTTTATAGCATTTTTAGCTTTAGGGTTAGAGAAGGCTAGATGTCTGCTAAGCTTAGCTATGCATTCTGAGAAGCTAATCTACTAGTCATAAGAATGTTGGGTCAGATAAAAAAGTTAGATAAATGGCCATTAAAGGGCCTAAATGTATAAATGCTACCAAGTCAGATTGTTTTTCTCTTGCTACCTGCACCTCCAACCTTGCAGCCTGCCTATCTCTCTACCTGTTGCCTCCTTGACTCCTGCTGTCCATTTTCTACCATGTCACAGGCCATGTCATATGCCACAGGCATCCTGGGTGTATCTTGCCAGCTTTGTGACTTGAGGGACATCTTCCCCATCCAGGAAAAGGAGCTGAGGAATGCCTTGAGTTGTCCATCCTGGCTTGTGGATCTCTGTCTGCTTCTTCTGGGATGGTCCTTTATTCAGGCAGATGTGTTAGTTCTTATTGCAATGGTGAGCTACAGTAGCCATGCAAAAGAAAAGGAGTGGTCAGAAGGCAGGAGAACAGGGCTCTAGTGGGTTGTGAAAGCCAGTGGAGGAGTGTCAAGGAGAAGGGGAGCAGTCTGTGGCCAGTCACAAAAATAACTTCAGAAATTTTGTCAAAAAATGGATCATGGAACCTGTTTAATTAGAGTCCCTAGTGGTGGGACTCAGGAATCTGGCTGATGGTGTCGAATGCAGCAGAAAGAAAGGTCAGGGATCAGAACTAAAAGCTGACTATAAACTTGCTGATCAGGAAGCCTGGGGAACTCTGAGACCCAGTGGCATGGGGCAGGCTGAGTGCAAGACCCTGAGGCATTTCTCACCTTTCCTAATGTGTAAACTTGGCTCTGGGCTATGCAAGAAAAAATTTCTAGTATTGTAGCAAAGTAAACATATCAGAAAGATGGTCGTTCAGGGCCATCTGCCTTAAAAAGATATCAGCCAGAAGAGGAAAGGACAGAAAAAAGTTTGAAAATGTTTTAATCACTTCGGAATAATCTTCTAATTCTTGTTTACATCAGCCTTTCTTATGTTCAATTACAACATGCTACAATAAAGTTAGATTTCTTAAAAATCCTATAATTCAGACTCAATTCCTGTCACTAAGCTGAATTAGTAATAGTTTATTTTTTTTATCTTTGAGGAAAATAGACAAGTATTCAAAAGAGTTTGTCAGAGAGCATAATAGTAGGCAATTTTTTTATTTAAACCTTTTTTTCAAAAATACCCTTTAGAAACTTCGAAAGATCTCATTTGTTCCTAGTTGAAGAGCCACTTTGTTTTAAAGCAGAGTGATGGAAAGTAAGCTTTTTGGTTTACTGTTAGAGGAATTCTATCCTGCTAATCTTGTGTTACCATGAAGAAACTTCTCCACTTTCCTGGGGCAGGGGCAAAGAGGTTGGGTAGCTAACCTGTCCCCTCCCCACTTCCTCTCTCCCTCTTGGGATCTGCTTGCCCATGGAGCTGGTGCCTCATCTCACCTCCTATTTCCATTTGGAAAATACACCTGAGTCTTCTAGAAGCTGGTGTAGAGGCCTGTCTGTCTCTGTCCCCTGCCGGAGCTTGTCAGTCATGAGACAGCAATTCCCCTGGCCACCATCTGGGCAGCCGTCTGCCCCTCTACAGATCCAACTCTCCCACAAGAGGGTTGCTCCAGGTCTGAACATGGAGGACACAGTAGGAAGCCCATTTGGCTGTAGGACTGGCCTCTTTTGCCAAAGAAACACTGATGGTAAGGAAGTTCATGTTTTTATTCCCATTTGTTTGATTCCTGTCGCTAATTCTCTACTGATTCCAAACACAGAGGAGAGAGGGGTTGATTTTTGGTAAGCTCCCAAAGCTTCAACAGTTGTGAGGTAGGCAGGGATATTGTGGGGTGGGTCTGCTTCTTTATTCCCTTGTTCTTCCCCATCTGAATGGAGTCCCCGGCTTGTGGAAAGTACACACCAAGTATTTATTAAGTGTGAGTTAAGAGTAATAAAGCAGAGATGCCAGTGGAATGCTAAAGCAGACACAGTGGAGATAGAAAGGGGCAAGGAGCAAGAAACTGAAAGATGTCGCAGGATTCTATAAACATGGTCATGTGCAAAAGTGCATGCTCAGGGTCATGCATTGCAGCAGTATTAGTAATAGCAAATATCGGAAACCATTAACTGGGGAGTTGGTTCAATACAACATGATATAGCTATTCAGTGGAATACTACACAGCCATGAGAAAGAATACAGGAGCTTTTTGGGTACAGATTTGGAAAAATCACCAAGATATGTCAAGTGGGAAAAAAAAGAACAAGATCAAGGAGGAGGATTGTACATGCAATTAACATTCATTATCCATGGGGGATTGGTTCCACACCCCTGCAGGTACCCAGAACTGTGGATTATGTGAGACAGTGTGGTTCACTACATTGTCCTTCCATATGCTTCATATCACCTTGATTTTACTTATAGTAACAGTCAATACTGTGTAAATGGTTATTTAGGGAATAATAATAAGAAAAAAGAGTCCTTATGTGTGCAGTACTGATGCAATTTTTTCCAGATATTTTTGATTTGTGGTTGGTTGAATCTGCAGATGTGGAGCCTGTGGATACGGAGGGCTGACTGTAATACACTCCCATTTGTGTAAGCAGAGGGGAACATGTATTGCCCTTTCCTTGTAAGTGTACACATCACCTCTGGGAGATACACAGGAGCGTTCCAAGTTGCCTATGTGGGGCAGGAGGGGGCAGGTTTTCCCCTTGAGGTCTATGTGCTCTGAGTTTTAAAGCAAGCAAGTGTGTTGTTCCTTTGAAGAATGAAACACAGGTACACAGATACAGTCACACAATTTTCCAAAGGGACGTGGTGGCGGGGAGCTATCGCAGGTGACTGATTAACTGTTGATTTGAGAGAACCCTGGAATGTTCCCAAATGGCTGGGAGGAGTCAGGAGGAAATCCGGTTTGGGCTGTGTTGGGTGGGCGGGGGGTGGCTTCTGGGGCGTCTGTGGACTGTGTCCAGAAGCCAGATGTCTGAGCTTGCAGGTGGGGAGAAGGGTCCAGTTGGGTGTTTGACTGGGAGCGTGATTAGCATTGAGGTGATATTAGAAGGCCCAGGAGCAATGAGGCCCCAGGAAGGGAGGTGGCCTGAGTTGAAGGGAGAGGAAGGTAGATGGTAATTTGTCGCGTCCGGCCAAAGGAGCCAAGTCCGGCGAGGGACGGCGAGGTTAAAAGACACAGGACACCAAGGTTCTTCATCCAGGAGAGAGAGATTTTATTTTTCCCCCCCTTTATATATCCTCCCATACTCTGGGTTAAGCATACGCACACATACACACATTTTTTACTGTAGGAAGCGGTTTCGGGCAGCCTTAAGCAAACTAGGTCTGGTTTTGCAGATTGCTCATGCAAGGCCCAGCTTGGCCAGCTAATCAGTAGGTACAATCTGTCCCAAGTGCTCTATGAGGGCAGATAGACAGGAAGCCCACAAGGCTGATTCAGACTTCAGTGGAAGTCCACAAGGCTGATTCAGACTTCGGTGGTTTTCTCGCCTTCACATGCGAAACAAAGAACAGGAAACTTATTCTTTTCCCTGTTTTAGGGCCAGGGGCTCCACTACAAGTCCCCCTTTTTTGTTTTTCGCAAAGTGGAGGCGGAATCAAGTGGCCCCTGTCTTAGGTCGTCTACCGCCCTCATGTCACTTACCCGTCTCTGGGGAGGCCCTGATCCCCTGTCTTAGGTTGTGACATGAGCGTAGAAGTTGCCCGTCTCTGGGTACCACAAGATAAACACACCGAAGGAGCCGTTTTATGGGAACCGATTACATTTTTAAATGAGCAAGCCAGACCTGTGGAGAATCACCCTGTTCTAGAGCTGCAAGAGCCTGTACAATCATTGCCTTTTTTTGCGTATGGCGAGCTTTAAGGCGACAGAGAAGCCACAAACAAAGTACAACACCAAAGCAACACATTGTCCCAAAAATGCCCATTCCCACCCATTCCTTAAAAAAGGAAAAGGCAGAGGACAGCCAACTGGTGAGTTGACCCAAAGTCACTGGTTCGACACGGGTACTATTCAAAACAGCAATCTGAGTCAGTTGAGACTGGATCAAGTTTTCTGCTTCCAAGGACCAGGTTCCGGACAGGTATTCTCCGATGATGCGAGAAGCATTTCTGGAATCATTAAATCTGACAGAGGTTATACATAAATGTGCACGTTGATCAATACAACCCAAATGTACCAGATCAGACAATTCCTCAACTTGAGCCTGAAGCAGATCTATCCTTTGATTAGCAGCCAAAATTCCAGATAAAATATGTTGATTGATTTTACTTTGAGATTTAAGTACAGTGGATGTTTGTTGAATAACTTGATTAATAGTGGCAGCAGTTTGTACTTGGCTGGCCATGGCAACTCCAGCTGTAACAGCCGCAGCTGCGGAAACTGCAACAGCGGTAACTATAGCCGCTGTAATTCCAAAATCTCTACGCTGTCTTAGCAGCTTGACAAGAGGAAAATGGTCAGAATCGGCAGTAACAGGAATCGGCACAAAGGTTGGAATTTTCATCACTACTGCTACGGACCAAGAGGCATTCCAACATTCGGCCAGGTAACAGGTGACATTAGAACAGTCTAAAAAATCTTTGGTGGAGTCATTAGCCAGCAGAAACAGGAAAGGGGACTGGAGGCAAACTGGGGCAGGAGGCAGAGAGGCATTAGTAAATAAGGAGTTATAGGAACGAGGTGTGAAGCGCCGGCCATTGTGAGTCTCAGCGACGGACCCAGAAACATTATGAAGCCAGTCCCGAGTTCCCAGAAATTGCGCCACTGCAGAAATATCCGCCGTGGCCCCCCGTTCATTTGCCACCAGCCACTGAAACCAGGCCCAGCCATCCCCAACCGAAGAGTTGCCACTAGAAGCGTTAAGAATGAACCTCTTTAGTGAGGGGGAAAGGGAGAATCCATCAGTAACCTGATGTTTGTCCCAAGACGAGCCCTGACAGGGCGTAAAGACTGGAGGGAATTCTTTATTAGGAGTACACAGGGGAGAAGCTCGGAAACCGGTAGCATTATGGGTCTTATTCTTTGGTGTCATGGGTACTACCACCTCCGAAGTTGTCATTAGGGTAGTAATATTTAGGGTTCCATTAGAGGTGTCACCTGAGCCACTTTGCATCCCCTGGCTTACTTGTGTGAGCGCAGCTAAAAGCATGCCATCTGACACCTTGCTTGACTGCATGGGATCTTCCCAGACAGTCACATTTTTAACTCGGAGGGAGATGCAATTATTTTTGCTCATGGCAAAGCAAAAAACTCCCTTAAGGGACACACGGGACCCATTAAAAGGAGTAATGGAATCTCCCCGGGGTGCAAGGCAAGGTGCATTTAAGTCACATGAAGTGGAGAAAAGAGTAGGGAGAAAACTAGAATTAGCATGAACTGGCAGTGGCATAGGCCAAGCTCGGGCCACCGCCCACCATTGCCCCTCTTCACCCCTTACCATTGTTAGAAGGAACAGCAAAACCAGGAGCCATCCCGGGAGAATCATTTTGAAAGTCAACCACTTCTTCCCTTTGTTGCACGGGTTTAACACAGCGCTCTGGGATCCAGATGGGCTTATCAGCTCCTGGAGGAAAAACGCACACAGCCCCTCTTACCCTTGCCAGGAGCGGAGCCGGTGGCTGCCACTGCCCTGTGGCCAGATCCTTCCACTTTACCTATGCCTGCTGCATCTCAGGAGAAGAAAAATGCCACTGCGCTGCCGAGCGGCCTTTAGAATCGACAAGCAAAAAATTTAAAGTGAATAAAGTTATACTTAGAAGTGCTTGTGGTCCCTGACAACTCCGGTATATCTCCCCCTCTTTTGTTTTTTGTAAATAAGTTTTTAAATGTTGATGGGCTCGTTCCACGATAGCCTGTCCCTGTGGGTTGTAAGGGATTCCAGTCTTGTGATTGATTTCCCATTGGGTGCAAAACCGTTGGACTGCCTGGCTTGCATAAGCAGGACCATTATCGGTCTTGAGGCATCGTGGGGTGCCCATGGAGGAAAAGGCTTTTAGAAGATGACTGATTACGTCCTTAGCCTTTTCTCCAGTATGTAAGGTGGCAAAAATGAAGCCAGAATATGTGTCAGTGGAAACATGTATAAAGGAGAGCTTACCAAAGCAAGTGTGTAACATCAGTTTGCCAGACATCATTAGGTTGTAGTCCTCTTGGATTAACCCCAAGGGAAGGAGAATGAATAAATGGTGCACAGGTTGGACATAATGAGACAATTTGTAAAGCTTGGTCTCGTGAGCATCCCGTATGGAAGCGTAAAGACTGGGCATTTAAGTGAAATTTGTTATGGAATTGTAGGGCCTTATCATATTTAGTTGTTACACAGGAAAGGCCGACAGCATGAGTAGCAGCGTCTGCCTTTGTATTGCCTTCTGCCAAAGGTCCAGGGAGCCCCGAATGGCTTCGGATGTGGCCAATGTATAGAGGATCTTGTCTGGCCCAAATGAGAAGCTGAACTACCTGTAGTTGTTCTGTGATGGTGGATTGCTTTCCAATATATGATGCTGTTTCTATGACTAGAGCCAGATTAGCTACATACAAGCTGTCAGTATATACATTAAGGGGAATGGAACTATAAACTTTGAGAGCTATAATTAAAGCTTCAACTTTTGTCTTTTGGGCCGACTGACCTGACACAGGTCGTCGGTGGATTTGGGATCCATCAAAAACGACGGCAAATCCATTTTTGGCCCCATCTGTATATACAGTTTGGGCCTTTGGAATAGGTTCTCTTTTTATAATCCTTGGGAAGATGATAGGACACCTTTTAAAGCCCTCCAAAAGTCTATGTTTAGGAAAGTGATTATCAATCTGACCCTTAAAGCTGCACAGGAAGAGACACCAAAGGTCATGTCCTTGTTGTAACTTGTGTATCATATCTTGAGTGTAAGGTTGAATAAGTATGTCAAAGGTTTTTCCAAACAATGTATCACCCAAATATTTAGCCTTTCAAATTAAGTTAATAACTAGCTCATAAAAGGGAGTCAATACCCGGGGGTTAGAAGCCGGCAAGTGGACCCAATAAATGGGACCCGTTTGCCAGAACACTCCTGTGGGAGTAATTTTAGAAGGTAGAACTATAAATGACAAGGGCAGAGAATAATCTATCTGCATAATCTGCATGTCCTGCAGAGCCTCTTCTATTAGCCTCAGTGTTCTTAAGGCTTCTGGTGTGGGTACTCTACACGACGTAGGAGAAGGATCTCCTCTCAAGAGGTCATACAGGGGTTTGAGCTCTCCGGTTGGAATGTGAAAAGACGGGCGCAGCCACTGTATTTCTCCGAGGAATGTCTGCCACTGATGCAAAGTTTTGAGCTGATTTATCTGGAACTGGGGTCTCTGGGGAAAGATTCCTATGTTATTAATGATGTATCCCAAATAATTGTAAGGGTGTTGAAACTGCACCTTTTCGGGTGCTATGACCAGCCCTGCCCCTTTTAGAAGGGATTGGAGGACTTCATAAGACTGAAGAAGCCTTTCTTTTTTGGGTCCTGCCAGTAAGATGTCATCCATATAATGAATGAGGTAGAGCTGTGGGAACTGCTGTCGAAAGGGCCGTAAAACCTCAGCTACAAAATATTGGCACATTGTAGGACTATTAGCCATCCCTTGAGGTAAAACGGTCCATTCATACCACTGGTAAGGTTCCCTAAAATTTGTGGAAGGCAAGGAAAAAGCGAAACGCTTTCGGTCTTGTGGGTCCAAGGGGATAGAGAAGAAACAATCTTTTAAGTCTATAACAATAAGATGCCAATCCTTTGGGATCGCAGTAGGAAAAGGTAGCCCTGGTTGTAAGGGTCCCATGGGTTGCATAGTTTTATTAATGGCCCGTAGGTCCTGAAGAAGTCTCCATTTCCCAGACCCCTTTTGTATGACAAAAATAGGGGTATTCCAAGGGGAGGTAGAGGGCACCACATGTCCCAACTTAAGCTGGTCTTGAATCAAAAGGGAAGCGGCCTGTAATTTGTCTTTAGTTAGGGGCCACTGCTCTACCCACACAGGGTCATCTGATAACCAAGTAATGGACAGTGGAGGTGGCCGCACTTCAGTGGCCCCTAGGATAAATTTTCCAGTCCTCTCCAGTCTCTTCCCCGCCGGGTAACCTGTTCTGCTGGATCCACAGGTGATATTCTGCCCTCATGTCTCTTTCCTAGTCCTCTTCCAGGGATCCATCCCATGTCTAGCATTGTGTCATTAACAAAGTCATTATTTCCTTTTAAAGTCTGGGTAGTGAGAATAGCCCCCATTTGATGAAGCAAGTCCCTCCCCCAAAGGTTTGTGGGGAGTCCAGTAACTACATAGGGCTGGAAATGGCCACTATGTCCTTTGTTATCTCTCCATTTTAAAAAGGAAGCACTTTTTTTTGGTCGGGTCTGTCCTATTCCCTGTAGTACAGCTGAGGGACTCTGGAGGGGCCAGGCAGGTGGCCATTGTTTTTTAGAAATGACAGAGACATCTGCCCCCATATCTAGTATTCCCTTGAAAGCCTTATCCTGTATCTCAATGGTCAGGTTGGGACGTGAATCCAAATGAGCTACCCAGAAGGCCCGGGGAGTTCCAGTAAAGCCAAAGCTGCCTTCGCCCCGGGACCCATGGAGGGCGTGTCCAGGAATGGAAGCTAAGGGTAGCAGCAGCAATTGAGCTATATGCTCCCCGGGGGGAAGAATAACAATTCCTTGGGTAGCTTTTACTACTATTTTTATCTCTCCCTGATAATCAGTATCAACAACCCCCGTAAGAATCTTTAAGCCCCACTGAGTTGCGCTACCTCATCCCAACACTAGTCCCACCGTCCCCTCTGGAAGGGGTCCAAAAACCCCAGTAGGCAGCGTCTGAGGTCCCATTTGGGGAGTTAATACCGCTCGGGAGGTGGAACTGAGGTCCAGTCCTGCACTTCCTGGTGTTCCCCTGGGGAGTTCCCAGATAGAAAGGGGTTGGTCAGTGGGAAGCGGCGGAGACGCCCACTCCCCAGGGCACTGTTCTGTCCCTGCACTGCCCCGTACACTTTGGCTTCCGGGGCCCGGGGCGGGCCCCTGTTCCCGTTTCCCGACGGTATTGGGTTACCCTGGATGTCAAATTTTGACCTGCACTCACTGCTCCAATGATTCCCTTTATGACATCTAGGACAAATTCCAGGCATCCCTCTGCCAGCACCCTCGCTCCTTTCCTGGCAGTTTCTCCTTATATCTCTTTTTTTTCCACATTTAAAACACCCCTTAGAGCGGGTTCCCCTGTTATCAGATTTTTGTAGTCCAGTCTTAAGGGCAGCAGCCAAAACCTGACCAGTAATATGAGGCCCATCTATATCTTTGTATGCTCGAATCATGTCATCTGTACTTTTGGCTCGGGAGGATTTGATGGCATTCTGGCAATAAGTGTTAGCATTTTCATATGCCAGTTGTCTGATAAGTGGCATAGCCTGTTCCAGATTAGGGAATATTTTTCCAGCAGCCTGCATTAGGCGGGCTATAAAGTCCGAATAAGGTTCAGAGGGCCCTTGAGAGATCTTGGAAATTTTTGTTTCAGTCTTAGAAATGGGCAGGGCTTTCCAAGCATGGACCGCAGCTGAGGCTATTTGAGCATAAACACCTGGGTCGTAATTAATTTGTTGCCCTATGGTGGCATACTGCCCAGTTCCTGTTAACATTTCAACATTGCGTCTTTGATGGCCCGCATTTAGGTTAATCTGAGCCAGCTCGCGGCACCTTTCATGATATTCACTTTTTCACAATAAGAAATCCCCTCCAGACAACACAGCCCTGCAAAGTTGCTGCCAATCATTGGGAATCAATTGACTGGCTGAGAAAGACTCGAAGAGGGTCAATGTGAAAGGGGCATGAGTTCCATAATTAATGACCGCCTCCTTAAGCTGTTTTATGTCCTTAAAGGCTAGGGGGACATGGGCTCTGGCCGGCTGTCCATCAGCATCAGCGTTTTCGATCATTGGGAAAACCTGAGCTGCTCTAGAACCCCAATAGACTCCCACCCGTCTATTAGGGGCGTCCTCATCCCAGTCAGGATTATAGGGAGGAGGCGCGGCAACTGAGGGGGCGCTAGGCACCCTCACATTCGCCCTTTTAAGGCGATGTTTCAATTCCTCTATCTCTCTTTCTAATCCCTCCTCTTCCTCAGAGAGAGAACTGGGGTCCTCAAACTCCTTTTCGGGCTTAGAGATCTGGAGGCGTTTCTTATTCCCCGAGCCCGAGTCCTCAAGAGGACCCTCATCCTTTAAGGACTCAGCCATTTGTTCCTCCTGTACCTGATTTAGGGCCTGTTCACATTCAGCAAGTTGTTTCTTGATTTTGACCTTATCTGTCAGTAAAGCATCCTTCACCAATCTCCATAAGGAGAAGGTGGCGATTGGGACGCTATCCGAACCCCGGTCCCGCAATAATTTCTGAAGGTCATGCCTCACTAAATCCCAATCATTATTATTAAGAAATCCCCCTGTCAGAAACCAAGGACATGCCTGGGCAATTATTTCAACAAATTTAGTTGCAGTTTTGGTTTTGATTCCTGTTCCTTGTGCATTCAACAGTTCTTTCAGTTCGTTGGCCAGACGAACTTTTGCTGTTGAATTTCCCATGGTACGTACCCTTTTTCCTTTAAATTACCTTTAAACCAATCCTCCCCCTTCTACCTTTAGAAGGTGAGCCCCGTCCGCTTACCCCTGCTTTCCGGATCTCGGTGGGACCTCCAATTGCCGCGTCCGGCCAAAGGAGCCAAGTCCGGCGAGGGACGGCGAGGTTAAAAGACACAGGACACCAAGGTTCTTCATCCAGGAGAGAGAGATTTTATTTTTTCCCCCCCTTTATATATCCTCCCATACTCTGGGTTAAGCATACGCACACATACACACATTCTTTACTGCAGGAAGCGGTTTCGGGCAGCCTTAAGCAAACTAGGTCTGGTTTTGCAGATTGCTCATGCAAGGCCCAGCTTGGCCAGCTAATCAGTAGGTACAATCTGTCCCAAGTGCTCTATGAGGGCAGATAGACAGGAAGCCCACAAGGCTGATTCAGACTTCGGTGGTTTTCTCGCCTTCACATGCGAAACAAAGAACAGGAAACTTATTCTTTTCCCTGTTTTAGGGCCAGGGGCTCCACTACAGTAATCATTCAAGATAACATGGAGTTAAAGATGCTGCTGATAGACTGAGGCACACGAAAAGGACTCATTTGTTGTGGCTCCATGTGACCTAAAATCAGGAAGGAAGATGGCCTCGCTCTCTGCAAGGACATGCTGGCCCCTTTCTGGACTCACTGTTGAGCTCCGGGTCCCCTGCAGGAATAACAAAGCAATCAATTTTCCCCAAGGAAGTTAGGCCATTACTAAGAACTGTGTTCCTTTGACTATTCTAGTCTTCAGTTCTCTCAAATTTTATATTCCTCAGGGACCAGCAACCCATTTTGGTGCTCACCTCAACTCAAAGTACAGTACAGACACCGGAAGGACACACTATAAATAGTGATTAGGGGGTATCATGCCTTCTGATCAGTACTTTCAAGAGGCAAAGGGCCATAGTTTGGGTGGCCCTGCCCTAAATTCACCTTAGCCAGCACTCATCTTATAAATCCCATTTTGGCCTCAGAAACAGGCTGGCTGTTCTTGTGTCATCTCCTATGATAGTTAAAGTTTTTAGTTAAGGGCTTTTGCCTCCCGGGGCTCTGTGCATTTGGTGTATCTGTCTCCCTTCTCTTCCTACCCCTGATCGCCCTTACTTTCACAGTTCCATTTTCTTAGGAGACTATTTCAGAGTCTGAGCAGCTTAGAGATTAAACATTTTAGATCTTTCAGAAATATAGTTTGACCTTGAAAGCACAAGTAAACTGCTTTTCTTCTACTCTGTGGTCTGAATGTGCCTGGAAGAAAACAGCAGAGATAAGCTTGGCTCTAACTTGGTCCACAAAATTAAAATATGACACAGAAGTCATTTAAAATGTAGCCCAGGGCCTTGCCCCTGTGCTGGGTCACCTCAAGGCAAAATTCATGTCAACTCCATGTGACCTAAAATAAAAAGCATTTACTTTTATGTTCAAGACTACATTTTTTACATATTGGTATTGGCTATAAAAGGTCAGAATAGGCCGCCCCACAATATACCTTGGCATGAAGATTATTTGGGGCTGAAGACAGTTGAGAAAAAACGGACATGGGAAGCTCCCTTCCCTCCCCATGTGTACTCCCAGAAGCAGGGCACACATTTCTCTCACCTGCACCATAAGAAGAACTCTTCTTACCAAACCCAGAGAAGCCACCAGATGAGTCTGCAGAGACAAACCCCATGACATAGCCCTTGTCTGGCCTTCATTCCCCCATATTCACCTTCCCATGGTTTTCTACCCCTAGAAGCCCCACGGTTTATCACCTTTTGTTAAAGTGGTGGATGAGTCCCCAAGTCTACCTGTGTCTTTGGGTTTTCATTTCTTTTCTGTGGAGCGCCCTAGCACACCAAGTTAAAAATAGGATTTGTCTGCCTTCTGTCCTGTTGATCTGTCTCTGTCAGTTTAATTTGCAGGCTTCAGGTACAGAAAATAGAGAACAGGTTTTCTTCCCTGATAGCTATATTCCCAAAGGGAGAAAATTTTAGACTACAGCAAATTCTAGTTTTCCACAAAGAAAGTTTTTTCTTCTCTGTGTCATTGATGCTCAGGTACACATATTCCTAAAAAGAGGTGCAAATGTACATCCTCCACTTATTTAATATTATCAGTATTTATTGAGTTAATTCATATCATGCCCTTTCATTGGCACTGAGGCCCATTAAGAAGATGCTTTTTGCCAACAATCAGGGAATGAGTTACTAATAGTTTAGACAGAATTATGTAAATATCAGAAAATATTTATACATATATAATTTCTCTAAACATATAGATATTAATTTACTAAAGTTTTGGGTTAGAGTTCCATATTTTCTTTGATTGACTTTTTAAATTTTTCTTTTGTTGAACTGTAATTTATATGAAAAAATATTAGGATCTTAAGTATACAAGTTGGATGAGTTTTGATAGTTGTAGTTGATTGACTTTTTATGTAATATCACTCATCCCACTTACTTGACTTACCTATTTATTGAAAAACACCAATCTCTGGACATAGGAAATGCCACTTCATTTCGAGCTGACAGCTCATGAGCCGAGTTACCCTCTGTCCATTGTGGTAGCTCCCACAGCATTTTCCTTGTTAATTCATATTGCTGGCATTGTATTAACCTCTGAAATGAAATTTTTGAGATTAACCTGAAGCAATATTTACAATATTTTTATGTCTCACTCAAAAACAAATTTCGTGAACGTAATGCATCTCACTTCAGCTACCAGTGGGATCGTGATCCCAGGGATTGTCTGACCCTAGGGAAAGAGATGAAGTGGTCAGTGTGTTTGCTGTGAACCTACTTTACACACTTATGCAGGCGAGCTGGCCTTAACCTCTCAGGTCACTCCCAGTATCCTGCTAAAGACAGAAAACCTAGAGAAAATGGTGGCTCTCACACATTTGAAGGACTTTCCTGCAGACGTGATCTTAATACTATTTGCTGGCTGGCTTGCCTTCACTCATTCATTAATTCTTTCACTCATCCATCAGTCAACTAAACCCTTCCAAGAGCTAACTCTGTGCAGGCCTTATGTGAGGTGCTAAGGATTCAGCCAGAGAACCTACCATTGTGAGCTCTTCTGGTCAGGAGGCAGATGTTGACCAAATACCCTCTTCGTATTCCCTAGTCCAGGGGAAAGCTGCCAGGAAGAAGTTTGGAGAGGACATGCAAGGTCCAAGGCAAAAAGAAGTTCAGCAAGTGGAAGGAAAAGGAAGGAAGGCAGTGAGGCTGGAGGGCTGGGAGCAGGAGTAGAGCCAGACTAGACAGGTGGCCGGGGGTGTGTGAGCGACGGTGAGGAAGTTAAGGAAAAATGAAAGGGTGTAGATGGAGGACCAGCTGGTGGAAATTAAGCTGTGATGGATTTCAACTCAATATAGAAATACAAACTGTTTAGCAGGAAGAAGAGAGAACCTTGGGGCATGGAGTGTTTCATATCACTAGTAGCGGGTAAGGGGAGACTGGAGAGGATGCCCTAGCACAGATAATAGGTTGGACACCAGATGGTCCTAAGTCTGTGGCCCTGGATGTCTCGGAAGTCTCTTCCCACCAGTCAAGGAGGCAGAGATGAGATGATTTCCTGGGATTTTGTAGGAAATGCCTTTCATTGGCATCTAGTGGGTGAGAAATGAATCTATTTGCGTTTCTCAGACTGGCTGTAAGAGAATCGCTGATGTAATGAATTTTGGCTAAAAATACAGGTATATAGATCCCACTCCTAAAGATGCAGATAAAAAAGGTCTGCAGTAGGAACTGGGAATTTACATATTTAGATAAAAAAAATATAAAGCAAACTTTAAAAACTTTTGCAGGAAACAAGAAAGAAAATCTTTATGACATCATGGTGGTAAAAGATTTCTTAAAGGCAGACAAAGAAAGATCATAAAGGAAAAGATTGAAAATATTATACTAGAATTTTAGAACTTCTGTATGATTACATAGACAATAAAAGAAAAACAACTTACTGAAAGGGGATGTTTGAGATTTCTTAGCAAAAAAAAAAAAGTTGGTATTTAGAATATATAAATCCTACAAATCAGGAAAAGACCAAGAAAAACTAAAAAGGAGTGGGTACAGGATTTGGAATAGGCAGACCATGGAACAGGTAGTCCAAATAGTCAATAAGCATAAAAGAAATATCCCTTGGGCTATCAGGGGAATGCAAATTAAAACCAGACCTCAGTGAGATACCATTGTCCATCCTTCACACTGGCAAAATCTAATGTCTGACAACACCCAGTGCTGGCCAAGATGTGGAGCAAGTAGAGCTCATAAACTGTTCACAGGATGTGAATTGGAAAGGAAATGTTTCCCTAGGGAGAAAAAATAACAATGCACACACAACCCTGCAGTCCACTCCTGGGGATATAATCTAAGGATGTGACTGCACCTGTATTCAAGGGGACATGTAAAATGATGTTTATTACAGTATTGTTTAAAAATTGAAAACAATAAAAATGTCTGATAATAGTATGGACAAACATTGGGGTATTGATACAGCAGGACACTGTAAGTGAATGAATTAGAGCCACAGGTAAACCCATGCACAACTCTCAATAGCACAGTGTTTAACCAAAGAAAGTAGTTGCAGGAAGATATATATGGTATGGTATTCTTTTGTATAAAAATTTAAAACATGCTGCATTGTATAATGTATTGTTTATGAATAAGTACATAGATATAAATATAAAAATGTAAAAAAAGCTAGGCATGGTGCATACCTGCAATGCCAGCTACTCAGGAGACTGAGGCAGGAGGATCCCAAATTTGAGGCCAGCCTGAGCATCTTAAAAACACCCTGTCTCAAGATAAAAAAAAAAAAAATAGAAATATTTGTGGATGTACAAATATGGTATTTTTATTCAGCTTTTTTCTTTTCTTTTTTTTTTAAGAGAGAGAGAGAAAGAGACAGAGAGAGAGAGAGAGAGAGAGAGAGAGAGAGAGAGAGAATTTTCTAATATTTATTTTTTAGTTTTCGGCGGACACAGCATCTTTATTTGTATGTGGTGCTGAGGATCGAACCCCGGCCGCATGCATGCCAGGCGAGCGTGCTACTGCTTGATCCACATCCCCAGCCCCATAAATATGGTATTTTTATGGTATTTTCTTTATGGTAT